GCTATATACACTTTTCTATGTTATTGTTGATGTTCACGATTTTTCTATGCCGCTATTGTTGTTGTTGATGTTGCTGCTGCTTCTGCCGCTGTATATATTTATTCAGCATGATTTGACATTCTATTTCTATGCTGCTACTGTTGTTATTGTGCTTTTGCTGCTGCTAGTGTTGTTGATGTTGCTTCTGCTTTTTTTTATTTGGCCAGCATGATATGAACTTATATGTACGCTTTTATGCTGCCACTGTTGTTGCTGTTGTTGTTCTCGGTGCCGTTGTTGTTGTTGTTGTTGTTGCTACTGCTGTCTCTTGATGTTGCTGTTGATGCTTGTACTGGCCAGCATGATATGAAATTCTATTCATATTTTTTCTATGCTGCCGCTGTTGTTGCTGTTGTTGTTGTTGTTGTTGTTGTTGTTGTTGTTGTTGTTGTTGTTGTTGCTGCTGCTGTCTCTTGATGTTGCTGTTGATGTTTGTACTGGCCAGCAGGATATGAACTTCTATTCATATTTTTTCTCTGCTGCCACTGTTGTTGCTGTTGGTGTTCTTGGTGCTGTTGTTGTTGTTGTTGTTGTTGCTGCTGCTGTCTCTTGATGTTGCTGTTGATGTTTGTACTGGCAAGCAGGATATGAACTTCTATTCATGTTTTTTTTCTATGCTGCTACTGTGTTCTGCTGTTTCTGTTGCTGTTGCTGTTGTTCTAGTTGGTGGTGTTGTTGCTGCTGCTACTGTTGTTGCTGTTAATGTTCTTGGTGTTGTTGTTGTTGTTATTGTTGTTGTTGTTGTTGTTGTTGCTGCTGCTGTCTCTTGATGTTGCTGTTGATGCTTGTACTGGTCAGCAGGATATGAACTTCTATTCATGTTTTTTCTATGCTGCCACTGTTGTTGCTGTAGTTGTTCTTGGTGCTGTTGTTGTTGTTGTTGTTGCTGCTGCTGTCTCTTGATGTTGCTGTTGATGCTTGTACTGGCCAGTAGGATTTGACTTTCTATTCATGTTTCTAAGCTGCTACTGTCGTTGTTGCTGCTGCTACTGCTGCTCGTGCTGTTGATATTGTTGTTTGTTTAGTCAGCAGGATTCGACCTTCTATTCATGTTTTGCTGCTGCTACTGTGCTCGTGCTGTTGATACTGTTGTTTGTTTTGTCAGCAAGATTTGACATTCTATTCTGTTTCATGTTGTTGTTTATCCGTCAACATAGTTGTGATGTTATCTTTATGTTTAGCCATTCTTTTCATCATCATACTTCACATATGCAGTAAAAGTACAATAGAAAGTTAAATATAGATGTCTAATTAAAAGATCGCCAAACAGTTTCACCTGTGAAGCTAGAATTACATATTGTATGCCGATTTGAGAATGTAGCATGTATATAAAACACGTGCATGCTTTTGCCAACCCTCGTTTTACAATATTATTGACAGTGTGATTAAGTTATTTATAACAACATGCAGCGAGGCTTAAATATGATGTCCACCTACTGGTTTGACAAGTCGGTGAGCATGTAGTTGAATTAAGTTTAAACAGTATATTATTAGTTAAACAACCACGTTTATTACATATATGATCATTCTTGATACAAGTGGTTTCCTTCCATGTAGAGATTGTTCACACATTATCAAATACAGTGCTACCAGCCCATGTCATAATGCTGTCGGAGTCGTATAACTACATCACAGTATTGTGTAATTATTTCAATTTTTTCACGTGCCTGATTTTACACGTGAGGTAAGAACTCCTTATCTTCAGTGACTTACCCTTTTTCATACCATCAGGCAGTCGGGTATTGCCTCCAGTCGGGTATTGCCTTTTTAATATATGAATAGATTTAGTACAATAAGTATCAATTAAACTTGAACTTGATATAATAAATCGTTATAAGCGGATTCATCTAGCCGTTGACCCGCGACCTACAGTCACGTAACCAATACCTCACGTGAAGCCCGGGCATGTTGCTGATAAACAATGTAAAGTAGGATCGAAGTTTCCAAACAAACAATCCCAAAAATACCTGAAATATAGCTTGAAACAGCATGCTTTAGTCTCATGAAATTTTCCTCTAGTTGTGCTGCATGTCACTACTACAGGACAAAACTATAGATGTGGAATGTTACAATCATGTTGATAAGGACTTAAATGAACAAGTAGACATTTTATAATTAGTATTGTTATCAAAAAAGTGTGTTTTTATATATAATTCATTTAGAACACCCTCATTAACTTCCACAATTAGCATTAGATAACATCTGAACAGGTAAAGGGTAAATGTCAGAATCATTATTGTAATGTTTAAAATAAGTACTAGTACTCAGAATAAAGCTGTTTCAGGCTCATTAATGTTTACTTTACTAGGTTTGACGTTAACACTTTCTTAAATAAGTAAATTTAAGTTTTGTTAAATTGAAACATGCAGCAGGTACTGTATTTTACTTATTATGTATACACTTAAGATTTAACCTTAGCTTTCAGACTTAAACAAATTGCTTAAATTCAGGGAAACTGTAAGCTTAAGCTGAGGAAAATTCGTGAAACTGAGGCCAGAAAGCTGAATCTATAAATGTCACGAGTTAATATATAATGCTTTCCCCCCGATTTTCCTTGATAATCCAAAAGTCAACAAAAAGTCATGCCCGGCTTTTTTGGCATTCTATATTGTCTAACACATTCCATTTTATTACGTATTAATTGTTTATGAAATTGGATGATTTTTTTTATACTCACCACCACTATATTTGCAAAAACATAAATGAATATCTAAATAAATGAAAAAAAAATGTCATCTTCTCCTGCTTACCAAATATATTGAATGTGATCATTAAGATTCATCAGTTTGAAAATAATGTAATATCAAAGTTTTACTTTATACACAAACAATGTAATTAATTTTGATGACACAGACGTTATAACATTGTTTGTCTATAAAGCAAACATTGGATATTATATAATGAATGTGATTGGGAAAACTTTTATTTTAAAAAGCCTTCTTCCCTTTTATTCTAGAAATACATGATACGCTTTGATCGATGGCATATTGAAAAATAAAATGTTCCCTTCTTTAATTTCTCTTGTAATTACTGCAGTGTCGCTATAAGCGTTGACAAAATTAACGTTGAAGTATAGAAAATTGTATCAATGGTTATGAAATATACGTAAAACGTGTATCGAAGATCACGCGACAGTGGTGAACTAATAACTTTCATTTTTAAAAGCCTTCTTCCCTTTTATTTTAAAAAACCTTCTTCCCTTTTATTCTAAAAATACATGATACGCTTTGATCGATGGCATATTGGAAAATAAAATGTTCCCTTCTTTAATTTCTCTTGTAATTACTGCAGTGTCGCTATAAGCGTTGACAAAATTAACGTTGAAGTATAAAAAATTGTATCAATGGTTATAAAATATACGAAAAACGTGTATCGATGATCACGCGACAATGGTGAACATCTGACCTTGTGGTGGCCGGGTGATGGCGTGGAGAACCTGAGAGCCTTCACACATTACATTCTGATCCTCTCTTTCCTCACGCCAACATTCATCTGATCCGATCACATAATATTGCTTCTCATTTTTCATGATCTCCCTAGCAAAATCCGTCCAGGGTATTTTCTGACTGTCACGATATATTTGTCTTCTAACTAGAGTGAACCGAGTGCTGACAGAATATGTTGACGCTTTACCGGCAAAATTAATATGGCTCTTTTTGGTTATTTAACTATACTTTTAGTGCTCTATCCTGCATTTTATACAGGTAATTACAAATCCAGACTGATGTTATCTTCACAAAAAAAAAAGAATTTGTCATACTGCAAAACTTATTCTAAAATTACAAATTTATCTCAAAACACCACCCTTTGCTACCAGAGCTCACACACAGTCAGTGGGAGGGTTTTATTTTCGTTAATGCTTTTAAAACCACTACCTTTACTCAAAATATAGACAGTCATACAACTGAATGATTTCTTAAACCGTGTTTTGCACCGTGACAATTAATTATCATTTAATCTGCCAATCGTTATCAATACTATCAACATATGTAGTCTGGAGAAGCAGTACTAGAACGTTACAGCAGGAATCGTTACAACTGATTAAGCCGTAGTAAATCCTGAAACTGGTTTTTTTGTGGAAATACATTAGTTTGTGTTCCTTTTGTTAAGTTGTCATGTGTTATGTATAAGAAGTACAAAGGTCATTTCTTGTTAACCTCATCTTGTTTTCAGCACCTTGTTATTTTTTCTTAAACAGCATATCTTATTCATTGTTTCTTAACAACTTATCTTGATATCACGTTATAAAGTATTGTTGTCACTTTCTAAACATCGTGTCACTTTCTAAACTTCTTGTTGTCACTTTCTAAAACTTTAGTGTCACTTTCTAGATATCCTATCTTGTTGACGCTTCTAAATATCATTTTTTGTTGACGCTTTCTAGATATCATATCTTGTTGACGTTTAACATCTTGTTGTCACTTTCTAAAAATCATATCTTGTTGACGCTTCTAAAAATAATATCTTGTTGACGATTCTTAATATCATATCTTATTGTCACTTTCTAAAAAGCATATCTCGTTGACGCTTCTAAAAATAATATCTTGTTGACGATTCTAAAAATCATATCTTATTGTCACTTTCTAAAAAGCATATCTCGTTGACGCTTCTAAATAGCATATCTTGTTGAAGCTTCTAATTATTATATCTTGTTGACCCTTCTAAATAACATATCGTATTCATATCTTGTTGACGCTTCTAAATATTATATCTTGTTGACCCTTCTAAAAAGCATATCTTGTTGACCATTCTAAATATTATATCTTTTTGATGATTCTTAAGATCTTGTTGCCTCTTAATGAACAACATATCTTGTTATTACTTTATAAACCCCTTGTTAAATCATTTAAATCGGCAAATCTTGTTGCCTCTTTATAAATAGCATAGTTTGCTGTCACTTGTTAAACAGTATTACTCGTTGATTTTTTCCAAAGAGTTAACAGAGCACAAAAACAAATATATTCAATTTCAATCAATTTATTTGATTTTCATCACATGACCTGCATATATTAGATGATTTTCTATTTCATATATTTGTCACCTAGCTACGCTAGGAATAATATAATAACAATAAGGCAAATTTAACGTGGCACTTTTGGTTTTCTTGAACACATATGACTAGGACTTAACGTGCTTTTCATATTGGTACAGAATATACAAATTGATTAACATAATATCAGCATAGCATAACATACAAAAGCACCAGAACAATGTATAGGTATTAAAATAACGTACCAACATCACGCGAATAACAAATAACATTATATATATATATAGATATATATTTCTACTGAAAACGAGAATATAGCCTTCATTTTTTATATCATCTATAAATTAAAATTGTCATTTTTCATCATTTCAGATAAGTGACCTGCACCAAAGAATCAGTAAGTAATTTTCTCAAACATTTTCAAAGTTAAAGCCAAAGAAAAAGTTGCCTCTCTTTGAAGAGTATATATATTATATATACGTTTTTAAAGCACGTTACACTAATATAAAGCTTATATTAAAGCTAGGAATATATCTGACCTGACTAGGTCTACATCAATTTGACACTTGTCGTTGTATTAAACATATATGGTAAAGTCAATAAAATACATAGAAAAATTGCACTTTTCATTACCGAAATACAATATTAGTTATGATTTAAAAATAAGTGCCAGTTTGACCATTAACTTTTAAAATATGCGTTGACATTATGTATGTCTGCGTATAAAAATGAATATTCTTAAATTGTGATCAAATTCTTGTCGAACTGTTCATACAAAAATATCATCAAAGTATTAAAAAACATGAGAATCTATCTTTAGTTTTAAATGCAAAAATAGACTCTATAACAATATTTAGTCCATAGACTAAATATGAATTGATGTCAGGACCTGAGGGTTCATTTTCCACACTAAATACACTTCTGACACTATCTTTCAAAAATGATAATTTTGGCTTCGTTGTACATGTAAAAATGTGGAACTTTTGATTGGCAGTTACGTTGCATAGCGATGAAATGAACTAGTTATGGTCTTGACTGGCCTTGCAAATAAGAAATAAAGGTCTAAATACATACATACGGTGTTACAAATATCAAACATATATAGTGTTTCACTGTATACATAACATCAATCTGACATTACGATACCCTCCTTCTCTTATTGCCATCCCGGGGCGGATAGCCCAAACAGTCGTATCATTTTGTCAGGGAGGTTTCATAAAGGTTAGGTATCGGACCAGCCGACAAGTTTTGTCAACAAACCTTTTACAACAACCCTTAACGGTACAAAATGGTACTAGAGACTTTCCAACCTTAACCACATATTTTCAATTTCTAATCACCATCTAAAATATATTGCATGACATATATCAACTTTGTGTTGACAAAATACAACCATTATAGATAATCTACAATTACAACATCATAGTGATCAATTGATAATGTAATGGAATGCAGTGTTTTTCAGGTTGAACACGGAAATGTCTCTCGATTAAGACCGGGGTCCTGCAGTATCACAGCGTTTTGTGATAGTCAGTTCATATGTGGCGTTTCATATGGAGAGACAGATGGTCACTCCTGGAGAAGGCGCGCTCACATAGGTGGCACTGGAAGGGGCGATCACCGGTATGTTTACGGTAATGACGGGTAAGTTCATCAGAGCGAGCGAATTTCCAGCCGCATCCCTTCCATGTGCATGCGTATGGTTTTTCACCAGTATGTGTCCGTAAATGTGCTTTCAGATGGGAGCTTTTCGTGTATGTCTTACTGCAGCCTGGGTGTGAACAGGTGTGACTTGTCTGTCGCTTTCTTCCCCAGCTTCGTCGGCCTCGTTTTTTCGGTTGACATGAAGATGGGTCAACAGGCTGTTGTGGAAGCAACAGGTCGACAAGCTGTGGGGAAGATGGCGGTGTAATCATCTGATGTTGCATCATGTGTTGCTGGGGAATCGGCATTTTCGCCATGAAATGATGTGTGGACATCAGAAATGGTTGCTGCTGGGCCTGTGGCGATGTTTGCTGATGATGCATCTGTTGATGATGGGGAGGAATTCTATGGATCTGAGGATGTTGCGTGAGAATGGAAAGTGGGGCACGACACTTGACCTGGTCGTCCTGATGTTCAGGAGAGGCTGGGGGTGACAAGTTTCCTGGAATATTCAATTGGTAGTGCATGGGATGTTGTTGCTGTTGTTGTTGTTGTTGTTGCTGCTGTTGCTGCTGCTGTTGCTGCTGCTGCTGTGGAGACACTGGACTCATTGTACAGTTAAGTCTAGCCATGGCAACAGCAGAATTGTTATTGGACATATATGAGGCACATGACGTCACCGTATTTCGATTGCACTCTTGTTTAGGAACGATTATCTGTTTTCTAAAGTCAGCTTTCATATTTTCCATGTCATACATACTGTTCATGATATCAGGAATGTCCATGAATGTTGAGTGAAAATCTGGCAGAGTATCAGCGTTCACACCGAGAGGCTCGCGTTTGATTTTTTGTCCATTATCTTCAGGGTACAATGTAGTACAATCCAACGACCCGTTATCCATGGTGTTGGAAAGAATGAAATCAAAGTCTAGTAAGTCATCATATATTTCGTTCTGCTGCATTGGTGAACAGGGAGAGTTGGCTGTAGGGGTGTTCATCCTCTGTGGTGCAGTGTTAGTGGTAGGGAGGTTTTGTTGAGGTGAGGCACTTGACCCACTGATGGCTTGCAGGATGTTGTTCTCGTAAGGAGTGTTGTCCTGGTACATCATTGCCAGACTCTCGACATCTTGCCATCCCTGTAATTATACAACAATACATTATATTATAACTTATGTTTTACAGAAAAAAAACATTTAAAGATAAAGCATCAAATTTGATAAATATACATATTGGTATAATATTTTCATTTATACAATAGTATTACATCAACAGTATAACAATTACATATAACTACCTGTAACTCGAACGTGATACCGTCCTCCATCATGTCTATACTAAACACTAGTATCTATACACTGTTAGTATGTGTATATGTGGCGGTTACTGACTGTCAGGCGACTAGAGTCTGGACAGCGAATGGTGTCAGTGTTAGCTGTCTTACTTTATATAAAATGACAGCCTTAATAATGTGATGGTGTCGACCGTCCGTCTGCGCAGCGGTCGTTGAAATACACAATAAAGACATACACTTAATCCGATTACATGCTATCGATAGAGAAAAAGGGACATATCGCGGCTAATAAGTATATAGGGATAACAGACACAGAGTCCTAATGCCTTCAGAATTAGGTTCGTAGCATCTCGGTGTGTGTACCTGTATCACGCAATAACATCGATTTTACCCGCGCCTGTTAGATTTTTGACATTTTGTGCTGAACATCATATTCACTATGCAACAGTCAAATTAATTATTTTGATGTAGACATATAAAATTATAACTTCCGAGAGACGTAATTAAAAACACCTGTTGAAATATTTTATAAATAAATAGTAACAGCTGATGTAAAAAGTATGGTTTATAAAAATGTACACTAACTACATATTATCTTAACACACGGTAGAAGTATCGTTTTAATATCCTTCATGTTAAATAAAACTATAAATGAAAAATAGAAATATTAAAATAGCCAAATCAAATCAAAGTTGAATACTTACATTAGCAAGTTCGGTGTTGTCCTCAAACTTCGGAGACACCGTGTACCCGGCGCCTGATTCCAGTAGGGAGTCCATGATAGTGATCATTGAATACTCAGGTGTAAACACAGTCTATAGCACTGTATAGTCTGCTAGGTCGATATGTTCCTCTCTTGGATTAAAACAAAGTGTATTGCATAGTATATGTAGCATTTACTATATAGTCATCTAAAAATATTTTTAATGAACTGGCTGTTCTGGCCTCGTCCAATCAGATCGCTCGCCTATATTTAGTCGGCTATATAAGCGGGCCGCGCTACAGTCAGTTCAGTAGTGCTTAGAGATGTCCTACAGTACACAACAAACAAATGTGAGAAAGGTCTAGAATGATTACCTTACACATAAACACCAGATGAGTTCATACCTCCTTAATCATATGAACCTGAATAATGAAATTAAACTTAAATGATCTGAATTGGGTAAATTGAGCATATAACGCAAGTTATAGGGAAAAAACAACATGGCATAGCTATGTTGAATACGTAGTAACATTGACCCAATTTTTAAAGCGGTCACGATCGACGGATCGGAAGAGAAACCGATAGCCTGGTGCACTACGTACTTTGCCGAAGTTAGATAAAATGTCTTCCGAGTAAAACCGAAACTTGCCGATGATGTCATATGATCACACGTTCATGCTTACCTGACTCCAGACATACAGTTTTTGTAAGCATCGTTTCGTCTAAATTTAGCTGGCTATTAATAGAGGCGTATATAAGTGTTTTCGCTGTCGATACTGAACAGTTCGTTAGACGACGTGAGCAGAGGCAGAAGTCTGTCCCGTGCCGATACAACAATGTACATAGTGTATGGTATATCCTGATGTGCAGGATACATCAGGTGATAGAGGCATGATTTGTAACAAGTTGTAATATCATCTTCACCCTCCACACACTCCTTACCTAATCACAAACTAATACGTCAGAAGCGTATCTACGTGACCTCAATATCTTAAAAGTTTAAATAGTTTATCTCATTAATTGTGACATACATCGATATAATAATATTCACTTCGACCTAATTACATATGTTTCATTTCGTAATTTTGGAGATGAAAAGAATCCGTATAGAAGGAAATGAATATATATTTTTATGTTAATTTGAATATTTTTTAATCATCTACCATATTAGATTTTGTGTAATGTATAAATAATAATATAACATCCAACGATGGCACATATCAATATATCGATATGATAAACAATTTCGATGTCATTTCACCAATAAATTAGATTTCCTTTCTTCAGTAGTTACATACAATCTGATTACATACCACCCTCTGCTATTAGCAGGTGGTATGCACATGTCACTGTGGATTCAAAATATCATACATTTCTAAATAGATATGTTCTGTCGCTCAATCTGAATACATTTTACCATGGCATTTTACTTGAGAAACTTCTGTGTGTATCAAACTACAGTTGTCATTATGACTTGAATTTTAGATTCAAATGTTGACAGGAGTCTTGTTTACGGTGCCATAGACGCTTATTATCTACATACATGACGGGTGTCATGTGAATTGCATTTTATACTCTTGGTTTACGTTTGTTATTTTCTGTGTTTGTTGATATTCATGATGTCTTCCTTTGGTTTTGGTGTCTCCTGGTTGCTGCTTTTGTTTTTCCTTTTGTTTTGGTGTCTCCCGGTTCCTGCTGTTGTTTTTCCTTTTGTTTTGGTGTCTCCCGGTTCCTGCCGTTGTTTTTCCTTTTGTTTCGGTTCCTCATCGGATTTTGTTGTTGTCTATATGTTTTGACGTTGAGTTTCAATATTGTCATGTTCCTGACGCTGTGATAAATATTATTTAATTTCACAATCTTCATAGTTTATGTTTTGTATTGCTAGTTTATACAATTAATATAAATTATATAATTGATGATAAATCTTGCTTTTTGGTACATTCATTATTTTATTTCATTATTTGATATTTTATTCAATGTTTCGCTTAATATTAAATTGATTCATTCATTTTTACTTATTTATTAATTTTTTAGTTTCAGGTAATGCGCACTAATTATTTCCTTCTTTGTAGATATGGATGGAAAACGAATAAATGTAAGTTTATAGACAAAATAATACAGTTACACTGCAAACGAGATTTTCATATGTGTAATTTATTAGTAAGGATTCGCAGAAAAGTATGTCTTTTGGTCGGTTTTTTTTGTTGTTGTTTCGTTTGTTTTGAAGTAATGAAGGAACATTACATTACATACCTAATGCGTGAAGTTATTAAGGTAATTTTCATTTGATGCTTTTAAAAAAAAAGTGTTATTTTTTTTTATGAAAACAGACTTCATAAAAAAACCCACCATAAACATAAATATAAAAATACTGGACAAAATTGTTGAAATATCCAATTACGTTTGATTGATGATTTAATGCAATTAAGCAGAACGCAAAGAGAGTTGGTTGGAAAAATCAAACAGCATGCCCTATTGTTATAAATCAGCAGGTTGTTTGTCAGATTTGCGACTGTTGTATAAATCTTCGTATATAGAATAACATCGGTTAATTTGTTGTTCTTGCTCCAACAGGTACTGCCTGAGGGATTGTGTTCTTTATGTCCGGCACCTCAGATAAATCTCGCCTTTGGTAGGAACGGTAGCGCGACCTGTCCACAGGATCCACCTTTTCGTAGTTAAATACTTGTTCTGTGTCCTCTGGGGGTTTAGGTTAAATGCGTGTAACACACAACGCTAAGGATATGAAAAATGTTACTTGCGTGTTAATAAACAGATTTTTTTTACATTACGTAAAAAATACTTCTCTACATTCAGACAACTCTGGTCATACTTTCCTGTCGTCAAAATCAAATATATAAGGGATTAACCAATTGTCGCATTATACAGTAGTATGCATTACAATTTGATTAAGGAAAACATTACATGTCAAAATGACTCCTCAAAATAACAGTTTAATTAAATTGTCAAGATTTTCAATGTATTGCTTCATGAACTTTCTATATACGTCAAATGACCTGACAATGATTGTATTATAAGTGGAAATTATGATTTTTCTATGACAGCGATCTTTATCAAATTTTGCTACTGTGACAGTCAGCAAATCTTATATTAGATCATTGCTATCTATTGCAGGAGTATGTTCATTAAAACGGTACTTTAAGTAAAATGAAGAAATCTACGATAAAATTGATAAGACGTATCATTGCATAATTGTCAACTTTAAATCATTAACGGAATGGCAAAGAACTATGACACCTTCAGCATAGAATTATATTATAATGACACTAATAACACTTATTTGATATATCATCGTTAAATTATATTTACTTAACAAGCTTAATATTTCAGTATAGAGGATGCAATAAATCCCAGTAGTATTATAACCCCTATACCAAGGTTGGTGTATCTAAGACTGTTTACTATAAATGTACTGGGGTCGAAACTGTGTCACCTGAATGTTTAAAAATAGCTCGCCAAGGTATCCCCTGATCACGGTCAGTCAATATACACTTCTTGTTTGTCTACAGTTCAAAAATTTAGGGTAAGCAAACAGCTTACATACTACAGAATGCCTCAGTGTGCCCGGGGCGCAGATTCACTGGGACAAGCTCTCCCTTTCATTAGGCTCTGGTCACTGGTGCTTAGGTCAACCTCGATAACACTATCAAAGTAATGCATTAATCAAAGTCTTATTAAACACGTGAAAAAGGACCGCTTCATTAATCGTTCACCTTTACCCAAGCAATGTGAATCCATCTTTTGTTTATAAACTCTCTTTGTAAATTATTTATTTTTAGAATTTAAAAAAAACCACATTTATTATAAAAACAGCTTATCTTTAGTGTTATTCTAGTACTTTAGGTAACTGATTATTATTTTTTCCAGACAACTTGCCCTACGTCAGAACGTGATGAGTGAATATCTTAAAGGTTTTATGCTTCAATATTAATTGGTAGATGTCTCCGACCCCAGCTCAACATGAAATCACCTGTTAGTCACACTGGCAGACTATGTCAAATTAGCGGTTTGATTAATTGTCAGTGTCTTCTTCATCAGTCATAAATGACTAAACCTTGATAGAGTGTACTATTTACCACTATATGTCTGTGATACTTCCCATTAAGTAAACCGTATTAATATAATGGCGTTTGCAACACAACTAATAATAAATCGAAAGTAGTATATATCATTCACCTCAGCTTAATGCAGATTAAATATGATTAATTATTAATGCATAACTTCAAATCTATTAAACATATCATACAGTTACTTTGTTTAGATTTTGTAATTAAGCAATGAAGGCATTAAAGGAAAGAAAACAATTCTCATTAAATAGATTGTTTCCTTGCGCTCATAGGGAAGCTGGTTAAATGTTGTTGTTTTTCACTAAACTACAAGTAATAAGAGTTCACCCTACGTTATATATAAAACATCTCATATTTGAGCACTTTTAAACTATTAAGACAAAACAAGTCAAAAACGTATTACTTATTGGCACTGTAGAGCACCATTTATATCAAATATGATACACAGATGCAGAAACAGTCTTTTTAATTATCATGATTCGTTCGAATTCTGTTTCTTTTACGTAAAACAAATATATCTATATCTTAATATTGATATAATTATGAAAAGTTTATAAGTTTTATAAGTTTATTACGTTTTTTTAGGTTTCTGGTTCGTCATGGTTCGGTCACCGTTTTGATTTTTAGATTAATTATGCAATATATGCTCTGGTTTCAATGAAGTTTATTTCCATTCATATATGATATTACTCCAATATTTACTATAATAATTATGACTTGAATATAGACCATTTCCCAGCAAGGATTGCGCGGCGTCCGATTTAAAATGACACGAGTAGTAAAATCACTTAGAAACATAAAATCAATATTTACCACCCCCGCCATAATAATAGCAACCAATCAATCACTCTGCTTGGTAGGTCAACAATGCATGGCGTTTCGTTTGTAAGCCAGACAGCAGACTCAATATTATCTTGCATTTTTTATTGAAATATTTGCGGACGATAGTGTCACTATAGGATGTTTGAGAGTTCCTGTGCTAAATTGTTTAAACTTTTATGATAAAATCAATGACTGAAGTATCCTCGTCTGTAGTACTGAACAAACACCCCCACTTCAACCTCCGACCTTGATCATCAAAGAAATTCCTCGACAGTTATAAATTTTGTCTACCCGG